ACCTTGTCTCGCAGACTCCAGTCAGAACACTTTACACACACACACTAACTCGGACTTATTGCTCGCTAGCCGAAAGAAGGCGTAGTTTGGATCCACGTTTAGACTCCTACACTCCCGTCTGAGGGGACATGGAGGTATTTTTACCTGCATCCGCAAAGGCCTCGGACCATGACGTGGAGGCCACCTTTGTGCTTGAAATTAATGACTCTGACAGTGAAAATGGCGACACGGTGGAACTGCCGATCAACACAAAACCAAACGTCAAAGTAAGACCAATGGAGGAGCAGATAGAGTACTGTAAGTGCTATGCCATTAAACGTGTTTTTACGCATTGGTATAGCTGCAAAAGCACGGAGTTTAGTTGGCCCCTATCCAGTGTAGTTGACACCACAGTGCATGCAAGCATCATTCCCACAGTTGAACATGGGGCTTGAGGGGAGAAAAAAGTCAATCATAAATACAAGTAATATGGTGTACTCTTACAATGGGACTTATTTTAAAAGTCGTATGCCGAACAGGCCACAGGTGTCAAATATCAGTAATGGATCAGAAATTGCAGATTTTCAATTTTTTGGTGCCCTTCAGGTTTTACCTTGACCGAAATATGTTTAACCGTGGTGACAGGAATTCCATGTGCAGTAAAGCAGGACATCAAGAGCATAGAAATTGTCTTGAAGGACAAGGAAAATATGAAGACAGTTGAGGCAGTGGTTATATACTACCTTGAAGTAAGGTATATTGTGTTCTAAAGGCCTTAGATGTTTTTGCCTTTAGACGTTTTTACAGCCTTTTTTGCTGCCCACAATATTGTGTTCTGTTGCTCCCACTATCTAAGTAGTAAACAATTTTAAATAATTAAACGCTCTAACATTGATGACAAAATTTCCCACACGCAAGCAAACCGTTTGAAACAAACTTTGGAAGGTGAGCATTTATGATTAATCTGCAACACCTGGTTCACACCTTTGCATAAACAGTGTCTGTTTGAATATATACCCACGAAAAATGCATATACTCACGCCATTTTCAAGTATCTGCGTCTCAGTAGTGGTTTATTGAAACTCTACACATCCTCCTGCTGTGCTCAGGACTCCAAGCATGTACTTACCCGGAATAGTTAAACCCAGAGTCACCCTCCATGTTGAGGCCATCTTGTTGGCATAATCGACGTCACCTCTGAAAAATGGTGGCGTCAGTGCCAGCACCAGTACTGCTAGACTTCTCGCCGAGATTGAGTGGATATAAGCCCAGTGCTGACTTTAATCAGCGTCACTTCTGACTTATAAAACAGTCAGTAATAGTCCTACCAAATACTATCACTAAGCTACACCCCAGTAAGTAGTATTATAAGTAGCAGTATTGGTAGTAGCAGTACCAGTCCTGGTTTACTAAAGTCTTGCTAGACGCCTACTAAGGGTGGGCTTAGAATGGATTGTACAGTAGTATCAGCGCAAAAGGCTACTGTCACTTAATACAAAGTTAGGCGGTGTTTCGACTTGCATGTGGAAAGCAGCCTACGCTGGAATCTGTTTAGTCTTCGAGACTCCCAATGAATGTGAAGAGTGCGGAACCGTTAACTACGTCCTCTGTCGATCTAAATCTAACACCTGAGACTGTCGCCTTCTGTACCAATCTGTTGGTGTACTCGGTGGACTTAATTAGAACTGATGGTCGAATACGCACACATATCCTACAAAAAAGCCAATATCGTCAATCAGAA